ACGTAAAGACTTGCGACGTTTGCTTTTGATTAATAGCGTGTTACAGAAAGCTAGAGAAGTGCTTTTACAGGAGGCATTCTTTGGTGGTAGTTGTAATAGTGGAAAAGCAAATTGAGTATAAAATATGTTTATTTCCAAACAGTAAACCGGATATTGTAATTGATACATATCAGGATGTTTATGAGTGTTGAAATAGAAAGTTTTAATTTGTTATTGAGGAACACAAGTTTCACTTGTCCTTGAGCGAATCTATATGTACTCAAATTGACGAAAACAAACTTTCACTTTCACCACCTGGAGGTAAATAAGCCCCTTAAAACCCCTGCCTGCGATGGTAGGAATCATTCAAGCTCGCAGAGTCAACACTCCGACGAACTACATCTGAGCCCTAAGACACCTCCGAGCATCTACCATGGACCCGCAGGACCTGAAGGAACAGCTAAACAGCGTCAGACAGCCTCAGTACACACGGTTGTCCGAGCTGAGGACTGGGATGCTGTACAGAGTCGTCAAGTTCGATCGCTGCACAACGAGACTTGGAGAGGCTATCTCAGCAACGTTGGAGGGACTTGTTGGAGATGATTTTTATCTCCGAGTCTTCTTACCGGACCGCTTCAAGACAGTTCTACCAGATGAGGTGATAAACGCCTACAACAGTGAGGACATCCCGAGATTGTCACTGCAGTACCTGGGGCGTGGAAAGGGTATAGAATTTGTATAACATGTAATAATGTAACTGAATAAAATTTTCATTATAACAACTTATCTTCCTTTTATTTGTGTTACTCCCCATAGTTATTTATATTTAAAAATACTGCTTGTGTTTATGTAGAACCAGTGTTAATCATGGATCCAAGGTGGAAACATCCATTCTCAGCAATCATAGCAGGCCCTTCAGGCTGTGGAAAGTCTCATTTCGTCAGTAAATTTATTGAATATATGAGTATTATTTGTGATACAGTGTTTAAAAATGTGTATTGGCATTATGCCGAGTGGCAACCAGGTTATAACTTGGAAAGTGTTGTGTACAAAGAAGGTATTCCAAATATGAGCGACTTTGATGGTTCTGAGCCTAGCTTAGTTATAATTGATGACTTGATGAGAGAATCAGATAACAGAGTGGTTGATTTGTTCACAAAAGGTTGTCATCATAGAAACATAAGTGTATTTTTCATAACACAGAACCTATTCCACCAAGGTAGGGGACAAAGAGATATATCGTTAAATGCTCATTATATAGTGTGTTTTAAAAATCCTAGAGACAAGGCTCAAATAAGACATTTAGCTCAGCAAGTGTAACCAGAAAACCCAAGATTTATTCAGGATGCCTACAATGATGCGACAAAAGCACGTCATGGTTATCTGTTACTTGATATGAAGCAATCAACACCTGATGAGATTAGGTTCAGAACAAGCATATTCCCTAGTGACATAAATAATTATGTTTACGTTCCTAAAAACAACAGAGGAAAGTGAATATAAGTCGAGTGTTGGTGTTTTACCACTTCAGTCTATCGTCATGTCTCAAGCGGTCAAAAAGAATATTAACTTGTTACGAGCGATCTCGCTCATGACTCCCAGACAACTTAAAAGTGTTTTAAAAACAGCTGACAAGGACTTGATTCAGTCAGTCTGTAAGTGTGCTTACAATCTGTTGCAAGGTAATGTTAGTGTTACTCCTCAAGTGAAACGAAAACTATCTAAATACAAAGCAGTGCTAAGAAGATTGGTGAAGAAAGGTGAAAAGTGCAAAAGTAAAAAACGATTTATTGTTCAGCAGGGAGGTGGTTTTGCACTACCAATACTTTTAAGTGCAGTGTTACAAGCTCTCCTTAACTAATAAAACCTATAATGGAACACGCAAAGAAAATGATAATTATTTCTCCTGACGATCTACAAAGAATGCAAGCCAACCCCGAAACCCATGTGAAAAGTTCAGGTAACAAAAGCGACACCGTTAGTGAATTGGATCGTGAAATGTCGAGTCTGCTTAATAACAAGAGTCTTAGTGATCAGGATAAATGGAGTCAATATCAGCAGGTGTTACAAAGGTATTGGCATTTTGCGAGTCAAAAGCGAAAGCCTTCAGATACCTGTCATTGATTTGGAAACCCATAAGCACAAGTCTTTAAACACAGATGAGTTGGTTGAAACATTCCCTAAAACATATAAGTCTGATGTTAAAAATTTACTAAGACATATTGGGAAACACCAGGATAAGATAGAATGGGATGATAATGGATTAGTTTTTATTGATGGAGTTGTAGTGGAAAACACCAATATAATTGACTTGTTGCATGATATAATAAGAGCAAGGAAAGCTACTCAGCCGCAGGGATGGAAACAGTTTATGCATGCTCTAAAGGATATAAGTACACCTATTGAGTTCATAACCAATCAATTTGCACGAACCTACTATGAAAGACTCAAATGTTATGTTTCACCAGTAGATAAAAGTATCAAGCTTATGTCAAGTAGAACAGAAGAGTACAAGTTTTCACCACGTACACTGCGGCCATTGTTTAGTACACAAGGAGAATTTGAAACACCTTCAAGATCAACCCCACTTTCAACATCATTTGCACGTAGAAATAGAAAGCAAAAGTGGGACAGCTTTAGGTTAGACTAGATGTCAACGGATTTAGCAACTATCTATTATGACCCCGCACACCCAGCCGGATATCGTGGAGTTGTACCGTTATTGGAAGCAGCGTCTGCAAAGAAGAAAACTGTAAAGGAATGGTTACAATCTCAAGATACATACACACTTCATAAACCATTGAGAAAAAGATTTCCTCGGAATAGGTATGCAGTGTATTCGATCAATGAACTCTGGCAATGTGACTTAAATGATATGAGAGGGTTAAGCAAATATAATGACAATATGAACTACATCTTAACTGTTATTGATGTTTTCAGTAAACAAGCGTATGCAAAACCGCTAAAAAGAAAAACTCCCGCAGAGTTTATTCGAGCGTTTAGTTTGATTCTTTCAGAAACACAAAAGCACCCAAAGAACTTACAGTCTGATAAAGGAACGGAATTCACAGCCAAGGAAGTAAAGCAATTTTTCAAAAGTAAAAATATATACTACTTTACTACAAATAATCCTGATTATAAAGCGGCTGTAGTTGAAAGATTTAATAGAACATTGAAAACTCGCATGGGGCGCTATCTAACACATAACAATACGTACAGGTATGTAGATGTTTTGGATGCACTGGTGAATTCATATAATCACAGTTGGCATAGAAGTATAAAAATGGAACCAATCGAAGTTAATGAGACCAATTCATTCAGAGTCTGGAAAAACCTCTATGGTGTAAAAGAAAAAGTTGTTAAGCCCAAACTATCAATTAATGATACTGTGCGTATTTCAAAAAGTAAAGGTATTTTTGAAAAAGGTTATGAAACTAATTGGTCAGAAGAGGTGTACAAAATTACAAATGTCCTTCAGCTTACCAAACCAATGTACCAATTGCATGACCTAAACAACGAACCAATAGATGGATATTTCTATGAGCAAGAGTTGCAAAAAGTTAATCTTCATGACAATAAGATTTTTAAAATAGATAAAATCATAGCCACCAAAGGAAAAGGTCCCATTAAGGTTTACCTAGTGAAGTGGTACGGTTATAGTGACGATTTCAACTCGTGGGTGCGTGCTTCAGACCTTCAATCAATATGAATGATCAATTCTACCTCACACTACCTAGTAACAGTTCCATGGGCTACTATCCACAAAATACAGTATCGAACTTCATTACTCAACTATCACGCCCGATAAAGCTGGACGGGTTGTGGGAAGTGGCAATAGTAGAGGCTCACTACCCCTGATCTTTGTTGACTCTAAGTGAAAACAGTGTAATATACATCCATGCTTACCCACATACGAGCGGGTAAAGACCAATGCTTGGGAAAAAGACGAAGAACCCAATTATGATTTGATCGCTCCTATGATGGTGGTTGCAACATTGACACCTGGTGATTATATAAATGTTAAGGAAGTTATAGATATGATCAACAAACATGAAGTCATTCGTGATCACACATATTTTAATTATGACGAAAAAACTAAAAGAGTTGAAATAAACAGCCAGTCTCACGTGATACAGATTGAATTGTCGGACAAGCTAGCTCTGCAACTTGGTTTCAGTCCCGGAGAAAACGACTTGCTGAAGAATAACCAATCGATTCGCCCAGCCAACCTGAGTAGGATTACCCTCTCAAATGTATATTTATTGCGATATTGTGGAATCGCAGTTTGTGGGTGATTATATGGCCCCGCTATTGCAAATTATTAATATTGACACAGCTGACTATGTGTATGGAAGTAGCAGATTTATGCAGTTTAACAGCCCCCACTATGTGTCAGTGTTAAAGTCGAGTTTTGAAAGTATGGAAATCGATTTAAGGGATAACACAGGAGCAAAGCTGCCATTTAAGTTTGGAACGTCCTGCGTTAAACTACATTTTAGAAAGAAAGCTGACAACTAAGAGAAATGACCCTTAACGTTTATGACCCTTACTTGGTGTATTACCGTAACCAATTAGGTAGTGGTGTGAGTGTTGTGTACAAAGGTTCCCCATACCAAAGAGGACACGGTATTGGCAGTTTCCTAGGTGGGTTATTTCGCACAATAACCCCTCTGCTACGATCTGGAGCAAAGACTATGGGTAAGGAAGCTATTAAATCCAGTCTTCACGTTTTGAAAGATGTTATTAATTCAGTCCCTCCGGAACAAGCTATATCTGCTGGTGTCAAGGAATTTACAAGTAATCTGAAACGCAAAGCGGATGAGAAGATTGATAGAGTTATGCAGGGGTCTGGCTATAAGAGGAGAAAAATCAACGTTACACCTCAGTCTTTGAAGAAGCTTCTAGCTGTACACAACAAGTCTAAGAAGCGGCCACCTGTCAAGAAACCGTCTGAAAGCAGTAAGAAGAGGAAGCGAAGAATCAGTGCGTAAAAGAGTGAAAGACATTTTTGGTTAAACAACATGGCATTCCTACATCATCAATCATGTGAGTGTGTGAAATCTGAATTGGACTTGTTTACGCTACCCGCAACACAAACTAGCATCGAGAATGGCAAATGGGTTCAATACAAACCAATTTCCTCGTTAACAGATGATTCACCCATAGAGTTTGTAGTGCCCGGTCATGGTGATCAGTACTCTGACTTGTCAAATACAATGCTAAATATTAAAGCATGTATTGTAAAACCCGATGGTACAAAACTGGACCCATTGGTAGATACATCAGTTGGTCCAGCAATTAATTGGTTACACTCAATGTTCAGTCAAGTAGACTTGTATGTAAACCAAAAATTGGTTACACCACAAAACAATACTTACGCTTACCGTTCGTACATTGAAACACTACTCAACTATGATGAAAGTGCTAAAGACTCACATCTATCCTGTGCTCTGTGGTATGATGACAAGTCTGGTGAAATGGATGATTGTGAAAGTAAAAATACAGGTCTGGAAAATCGCAGATATTTTACAAAGTCAAGCAATGTTGTAGATATGGTTGGTCATTTGCATGTGGATTTATTCAATCAGGAAAAATTTTTACTTAATGGTGTGGAACTGCGTTTGCGTCTAGTGAGATCAAGAGATTCGTTCTGTCTAATGTCCAAAACAGAGAAGTATAAAGTCAAGATTGTTGAAGCAAATCTTTTGATACGTAAAAATAAAATAAATCCTACAGTGTTGTTGGCTCACAGCAAGACTTTGGAAAGTGGAACAGTCAAGTACCCGATAACAAGAGTCGAAGTGAAAGCTATGACCATACCCTCAGGCATTCAAGGCAAGACATTGGACAATGTTTTTCTGGGACAGCTACCAAAAAGAATAATTGTTGGTCTAGTAAGCAACAAAGCATTTAATGGTGATTTCAAATCAAACCCATTTAATTTTCAATCCTACAAGGTGAACTTCTTCTCACTCTACGTTGATGGAGTTCAGATACCATCCAAACCACTGCAGCCAGAGTACTCTGAAAATAAGGAATTATCTGTTATGTCCTATCACACATTGTTCAGTGGGACTGGAATACACTTTCTGAACTTGGGTAACAGCATTACTCGCAGCGATTATTCTCAAGGTAACTGTGTTATGGCATTTTACCTGACACCGGACTTATCTGCCAACGCCACCACTCACTGGAACCTCATTAGACATGGTAGTTTAAGGATTGAACTTGGATTCTACGAAGCTTTGACCGAAACCATCAATTGCATCGTTTACGCAGAGTTTGACAACATAATTGAAATTGACAAAAATAGAAATGTAACGGTTGACTATGGGAGTTAAATACAAACAGCATGTTTTGTGTTATGACAGTACTTCGCCTACAGTCTGCTGAGATGGATCGTAAATATAGTGTTGTTTTGGACATTCAATGTTTCAAGAATAACGATGGAGGTTACATAATCAAGGAAGTTGCTGCTATAAATTTAGAAACGGGAAGTTTATTATTTCATCACATTGTTTGTCCACCGTTTGCCCGCAGGCTGTTGACAGCAGATAAGCTAAGAGAAAGTTATTGGGTTACGAAATACTACCATGGCCTTGACTGGAATGATGGTGACATCCCATACCATGTATTGCTGGAAAAACTAAAAATTTCACTTACTTCAATTATGTTTGTGCTTGTGAAAGGAAGAGAGTAGGCAGAGTTTATTAAAACTATTTTACCACTTTGCTGTACGGTTATTGATTTTGAATGTTTACACTCTCAGTCACTCAATGTGCTCAACAGTTTGTTTGCTTCAGACAGTTTAAGATGTAACAATCATTGTGATAGTTATCACAAGTGTGCACTGTCAAACTGTGTAAACTTAAGAAAGTGGCATTTCCTTACACAAAAATGAACTCCTTGCAAGTGGAGTGGTGTTTAAAGAAGCTCCCAGTTCAAAATGTTGGTGTATTCCCATCAGACTGTTTACCCATTAGGATTACACCCTCAACAGCGTTTGTAGTCAACACTGACCCACACACCAAGAAAGGCACTCACTGGATTGCAATTTATCTGGATAAACACCAAAGACTGGAATATTTTGACAGCTCTGGACAACCACCAACTGTTCCTGATCATGTTAACTTTATAAGAAGAAACTGCTGGCATTACCACTTCAATCACAATAAGCTGCAAGGTGAATTTTCTACAGTTTGTGGACATTATTGTTTAACATATTTGTATTTTAGGCCACAAGGCTATTCAATGCAAGACTATGTATCTCAGTTTTCAACAAATGTTAATCAAAATGATTTTCATGTATGTAACCTGTTTGACTATTGTTATAAAGGAATGTAAATAAAAACAAGTATGTTGTAGTTTATTGTTTTCCCTTGGGTTATATGTATACATACAAATAGTTATATTTAAAAAGAAAATGTTCAAACACATAAAGGTTGCTCTTTTAGCTCGATTTAACAAAGATTTCAGCACAATATGATGATACAACAACCAAAACTTACTTTATTTGTGAGGATTTTCATTTCACACAATCAACATGGTAAGAAAAAAATTTAAAAATGTGGTAACACAGTTATACAAAATATAGTAACTGGAATATTTAACTGATTGAAGAAAAAACTATGTACTCTAAAGCAACTTCAAGTTTGACATAGACTATACAGATATATACAAACTATAAGTTTATTACAATATATACAAACTATACATTTATTACAAAGTATATTACAAAGGTTTCTACAGTTGAAACGTCAATTCTTAGAAATAGTAATGGTTGAAATTTGTTGCTGGATGGGAAACATGTTTTTAAAAGATATCTACATCTAACTCTACACCCGGTGGTATTAGATGATGTCCATGAGGAAGGGTTGTAAACCCATCAACATGAAGGTATCTTTTACCATCATACCCACGTGAGTTTATTTTCCCACCGGGTGTAGACCTTGTGTTTCTTTGATCTAAAAGTTGAGTTCATGGTATAAAAATCATAATTTTCTCTTATACATGTTCTATAGTGGTCAGCCCTAAGTTTATGTTTTACTACAGCCCTAGTGATACCCTTACACTTTTTAATTTCTGCTTCGGTGCCCTACGGAACAATGCAGTACACCTTTGTCCGAACGCCAAGAAATTCGAGAATGAACACACCGTTCATCTCATCCTTCATCTTTCCCAATAACTTGGCGTTCGTAGGGCTGTAGGCGGGGTTGTCCCTACTCAATCCACTGGTGTCAAGATGCTGCATCATTGAACGGAACCTATTGTACATGTCCTCAGTGTACAGCTCGACTACAAAACTGTCTGTGTCCATGTACAACAGGCCCACATTCTCCTCACCAAACTCTTTCACCAGGATGTCATAAAAGAACCAATACATCAGCTCTTTACTTATATCTAAGATACACGAACCAACGTAAAGGGGCTTCTAAAGAACAATACTTGTCTTAGCCAAATGAAGACCAGCCAATGATTCAGTGAATATTGTGCTGTACAGAAAGTTGGGCTTAGCAATGTATTTTTCCAGCTTTCTGTTGTCAGACACAAGTTTGAAATTCATACGCTTACGGTAGTTTTCCATAGTCTTCCCGAACACGGAGTTGTTGAACAATTTAAAAAGATCTTTTTCAAAGTCATTCTTGGCCTGTTTACGGAGGTTCGTGTTTAGCTCGATGTACGGTTTTAACCACGGAGACTGGTTGAACTGAACGGCTCTGTGGATTTTTTTAAGTTTTAGGCCATGGTTTAGAGCTTGTTTTAAAATGTGGTAATGAACTATGTAATTAGTTTTGGGTTCCAAAGTGGTGAGCAATTTTGGGTGTTTGCCACCTGGAGGGACTTTCCTCTCACAAAGGAAGGGTAAGTGCTGGTGAGACCAGTAAAGGGATTGAGGATAGTCTACGTCAACCTCAAGGATGTAACCCACGTCAGAATCATCAGGCACAGACTCCACCTTCAGGCTATCAATTTGCTCTTGAGAGAGCCAACTGAAGCCTCCTGTTGGGAGATACTGGGACATGGCCCAACCGTAAAGATTATTAGCGTCTACATACGTGATGTATTTAGACGGAAAGGTCGGATCATAGTCATCACAATGTGTTGGCTTTGGACCTTCGCTTACACACTTGTGAAATACCTCCCCTGATGCTTTTTTCAAAGAATAGGTACATGTCGTGGTCCTGAAGGGTCTCTAGAGTGACGTTAGTTTTGAAAAGCATTGCATCCCAACTAAAACTAGGCAATGTGATGTAGTGGGCAGGGTCAAGTTGGTGGGTCTGCAGACTAGTCTGCCGGAAGTTCTCAAAGATATCTGCGAGCAACAGAACATCAGTGAGGAGATAGATGTCACTATATTGTCCGAGGTTTTTAACATTGAATGTACTCCACACTCGTTGAGCGTGTTCATACGATTCATCTGAGATTTGCTCTAGGGACATTTTGTTATAGAACTTGACTTTATCAGGGAGATGGGTTTCATCTAACTTTGAAGGACATGAGACATACTCATATGGGAACACCCCCTTCCGAGTTAGCAGATCGAACTGCTCATCTACTGGGAACTGTTTCCTGGTTTCCTTTAGACAATCTTTTGGTAGGGATTCAGCCAACTTCGATAAACTAGATGGGAGAAATCTCAAACTATCCAGGAAACGAAGTCTTAGTACTTTACGGTTGGCTTTTTTAAAGGGAACGTACTTTGTGAAACTAATGTACTTTTCCTCGGAAGTGGGGATAACTGAAATTTCACCGGCATCACTGTCAAGTTCTGGTATGATAAAGTGAGAGTCGTACGAGAGATTTTGAAAGTAGCAGTTTATCGTGTTCTGCTCGTGAAACTTAAGGTTACACAAGTTGTGGGCAGCACCTCGGAACTTATAGGGAGCGGAATGCATGTGGTCCCTAACCTTGAGGTCTTCGTTTGTAAACACTTTACCACAAATGTGGCAATATCAGAAACTATAGATCTTGTTAAATGTAGGCTTTTGCAGAATAGTTTAGACGATGAATATGTCAATCAGATTGTAAAATTGCTTATGACTGTTTTGAAGCAAAATTATTTTAGATTTAACAATAGATTTTACGAACAAACAGATGGTTTAGCTATGGGAAGTCCACTTTCGGCAATTTTGTCAGAAACATTTTTACAGCATCAGGAAAAAGAAATGTTAATGAATTTAAGAAAGAATCATGATGTAAAACTGTATGTTAGATATGTAGACGACATTCTTGTTATCTTCAGACAAGCCACGAAGCAGGAGCACGAAACGATGATGCAGACACTAAAGAGCCACCACCCAAACCTCACCTTTACCAACGAGTTTGAAGAAAACAAAAAGATCAACTTCCTGGACCTCACATTAGAGAGAAAAGATAGCAAGATAGAGTTTGACATCTACAGGAAACCTACGCAAACGGACACTACAATCAACAACAAGTCTATCCATCCGACAATCCACAAGACCGCAGCCTTTAGATCTATGCTGTACCGAGCCTATAAGATCCCACTTAGCCAAGCCAATAGGAAAAAAGAACTGGACACCATTAAGAAGATCGCTCAAGTGAATGGATTTCGAACCAAGACAATAGAGGACATCGCAAGGAAGACGAGGAGAAAAATCGATAGACAGAATACACTACATAGCAGAACAACATTAGAAGAGATAAAAGAGGAAAGCACCAGATATATCACATTTAGCTACACGGGGACTACAACACAAAGGACTGCTAACAGATTCAAGAAATACGGAGTTTCAATAGCCTACAGGATTTAGAACACCATGAGTAAAATACTGCATCCAAAAATAGAAGATTGTAACAAATTTGACACTTCGGGCATCTATAAAATCAATTGTAACGATTGTGATAGCTTCTACATTGGACAGACTGTGAACTTCGTAAACCGCTTCAAAAACCACATATCTGCGTGGAGGAACAACAAACCGGAAAGATCAAATATCGCACAACACCTGTTACAAAATGGGCACTCACTAGGAAAAATGGAGGATAGTCTAGATATTTTAAAGAATTGTAAGAAAGGATATGTAATGAACGCTTGGGAAGAATTGTATATTTATAAGGAAAAATGTAAAGATAGAAATAAGTTGATTAATGAACAAATACATTTTGATTCCAGGTGTACTTATAAAAATGTATTGGCCGGTGCTTCCGGTAGCCAATAGGGTATAAGTAGGGACGCCATTCAAGATTCTTGTCATTCGCCTATTGGGTCTGATGATGATTGGAGTGTCCAATCGAAATCGATTACCACTTACCATCGTTTTTGTATATTTACCGTCTTGTGAGTAACAGTATAAGCGTAAATATATGTTTTAAGTGT